TGACAAGCTCATTGCCTAAGATTTTTTTTTTTACCTGATTCCAGATCAGAAACAAGGTTGAGGATTTTTCCAGGTTCTGAGTCAATATTGAAACAAATATTCTTTTGGCTTTTTGGTAGGTAAATGATGAAGTGTGGGTCATTTTCAACTGAAAACATACAAAGAAAATGAAAACAAAGTTATAGAAAGGAAGATAATTTTGAACTGTGTTTCATTCCTAAACCTCCTTAATTTAATAAGAACAGATATTTATTGTGCTTCTACTATATGCCAGGGACTGTTTTAGGCTCTGGAGACCCAGCAGCTCCTTTCTCAGGGAGTTTCCATCCGAGCTTTAAATTGTTTTACAAATAGAGTGTAAAGTTGTAATTAGCGTGTGCACGTCAGTGTGACCTTGTGAGTGTAAGCTTTATTTTGCAAAGTAACATTAAATGGTCACTCATTGTCAGTGCTCTTAGAACCTCTCAGTGGGAAGGTACAGTAGAGATGGGGAGCACCTCTCTACTGCCCAGGTGCATCTTTGTGCAAGTGGGTGATCTTCCACACAGACTTCTACTTAAATCTGAGGCTTTGGCAAGATGGCCACTTGTTGCTAAACATTAAATGCAGAGCCCTTCATTAAGCAACACAATCGGAGGTGGTGGGACAGGACAGTGGAGGGGTGCTGTATGAACAGCATTACCACCAATGAAAGGGGGAAGAAGCATGTGCCTTTTGGCCCACAAGTTATAATTTTAGACATGGCCCACAAGGTGAGATGCCATCACTTTAAAAAAATGATTGAAAGTCCCTGCTATTTTTGCTCCATTATATGCGATGTTAGGTGACTGGTGGGTGTGAGCTTGAGATACCAGTTTTGAGAATTTCTTGATAGAAGAGTGACTAATACACACAGCTATCTTCTTTCAGCGAAAGATAGCATTGCCTATAGAAGTCACCTGCTATTTTTTAAAATTAATTTTTTATTTTTTGGTATAATTAATCTACAGTTACATGAGGAACATTATGTTTACTAGACTCCCCCCATCACCAAGTCCCCCCGACAAACCCCATTACAGTCACTGTCCATCAGCATAGTACAATGCTGTAGAATCACTACTTGTCTTCTCTGTGTTGAACAGCCCTCCCTGTGCCCCCCTGCCCACATTATGCATGCTATACATGCTATTCGTAATGCCCTCTTTCTTTATCCCCCCCCTTGTCCC